GAGTAGCCACCCCGCCACCAACCTCCCCGCTCCTCCCGCTGTTTGTCATTTAGCTCCTTCGCCGAAGCGTCCTCAAAGCCGCCGTAACTTTTAACGCTCGCGGGGGGAGGGCTGCACGCGGAGTGGGCAACGCTTTGACGGCACCGTGCCATTTTAATTTGGCGGATCGTGGATTTGTCAACGAGCAAAAAAAAAAAAAAGAAACTCTGGGGAGTTAACGCAAGCGTCGCCTGCCCCTTAACTCAGCGAGACATTTATCTGACGTGGCGAGCATTCTGCTCTGAGCACGAGGGCCGAGCAACTTTGATCCCCACGATCTGACGGAGGAATCGTGGAGGTCGCTAACGGACTCTGGGATGGGGGAGCATGGGGGGGGGGGGGTGGTGGGTGTTGGGGGCCATGAAGAGGAATGAGGGAAAGTCGTGCTAGATGGCAAGCAGCAACAAGGCAGCGTGTCTACATGAAGGTGCTGCGGCCAATAGGAGATAGAAGATGAGGAACCCTCGAGCGACGGGGGTTTGAATCTTTGCTTCACTTTTACCCGTGGAAAGGCCGTTCACGTGCCGAAAGATGGGCAGAAGCGCGCATTTGGACGCACCGTTTTTAGACGCTTGAAAGATGTGCGCAATGGTCGGTATAACAAGGATGTGGCAGTTTAATGCGGTAGTACGTCAACCAATTAAGACGGTGATTCAGATATAAATGATTTGTCCACCTTTCATGGTAAGGCAGAAATGCTCGTAACATACTGCTGTGTTAGATTGATGACCAGATGGCCATGGTATATTCAGCTTAATGTACGCGTCAAACCATTGACTTATTCCGTAAATAAACCATATTTAAAAAGCCATACATCACTGTAGATCGCAGACCTGAACATTGGCATTTAGCTTGTGAACGTATTGCCAAGAATAGGAGTGTATATAGCTTCAAATCAAAATAGTATACAGATAATGAATAACGTGAAAATAGCACCTCGTATTTATTTGAAGCATTATTCGTGAAGTGTTGCATGATGCTTTGCCTCATTTTCGGAGCTGCCTCGGTATTATTTTAAAGTTCGCATTCATGATACACACGCACATTTTACTGTGAGGACCTAAAACTTAGTGGGGAGGCTAAAGTCGATAGTTTTCCCCCACTAGTTTGCCAAACGACGGGGATAGCAATATACCTTTCCCGCCCCTCCTTTGGCATCACCGATTTCATTTTTGTGTGTGCTTTGGTTTGTCGTTCTTCCCCCGCACCGCCGATTGGCACGGGTTGGCGACGTACGGTGCGAAAGAAGTCCAACGTGCATACACACACACGGGACGGTGCGGTTTTGCGTTGCTTCCTGCCGCAAACAGAGAAACACCGTGGAACGGTTTTATCGCAAATTAAAAATGTTGTCGGGAAGCCAGCGGCGGCTCGGGAAACGTCAGAGAGCAAAAAGTCTCGCAGAGTGGATCATCCTTCCCCACGTCCCCGAGTCACTTTGTTTGTCCCCCGCACTCGCGCGGATGTAGACAGGGCCGGCCATTGTGTGGCTCCCCTGAACGAGGCGAAGGGAGAAAAGCGAAAGGGAGAGAAAAAAAACTTGATCGACGTTCCGGCTTTTTTTTGGCTCCCCCCCCCCCCCCCCCTCAAATCACCGGAATCTTTCAAACGTCCTCTGTTACGATTGTGCACGAGACATTTGCCGAGATTCAGAAGAAAAATGTCAGGAGTGCACAAGAGTTCTGGGCAGTATGTCTTCTTCTTCTTCTAAGAATAGTGGCGTGATGCGATGTGCTCCAATCTGCTCAACAGAGGCCCACTGTGCAAGGGAGACGTGACGCTCTGCCCCAGTGCTCGTGCGCTGCATTTAACCCTTGACACATTACGGCATTCTGTCTTCCCCTTTTAGCAAGGCGAAAAAGTGCCCCCCGCGTGCGCCAAGCCGTGCGTTGAAATTTAATAGACTTGGTACCCACTGCGTGCCAATCTGCGGTGCGTTTCGGGGCTTTGACAACGTGCGCTGTTCGGCGTCATGCTCCACGTCCTGCTCCGCGACCTGGGGACCTTTGAGAAAGGAGCTGAAGAAGTCTCCCAGCACGTGGCGCGAAACGTCGGACACCGTGCCGAACAGCACGCGGCACGACCCGCAAAAAAATACACCTGGCATTGCAGTGGAGTTCATTAAAAATATATAATAAGAATGCTTTCGTTTTGCATAGCGTCAGTCATGCCAACAGTATCCCACAACGATGTACACAAATTATAATATAAGGGCGAAATCCCATATAAGCGGTTGGCTACGTACGGCACGAAAGAAGGCCAACACACACGTACACACCAAGCAAGTGGAGACCCTGCTACCAATCAAAATCTAAAATGAATAAACAAGGGAAGAAATGGCATCATTATAAAGAACACTTAGAATGATTTTAAGATTTTTAAATCACACCAATACTATCCCTGCAGATCCAGTGGCCTTTATAAAGAAAAAAAGATTTAGTGTTTCATTTTGCGAAATAAACTGCCAACAGTTCATCTTCACAATGCAGGAGCCCTTGTAGTCACGAGGGGCCCCTTACATTTTGATTTGGGGGGAAGCTGTGTTCGGACTAAAACGATCAATCACGTGGCAAATTAAAGTACTTTACGTTTGAACTCTTACTGCACACCTTGGTAGTTGATTTATCTGCAGCTTCCATTCAATATGTAAAATTGGGGAATAACATTTCGTGCCTCTGCGCCCGTGCCAGCAATCAAGACAATTCCTGAATAATTTTACAGCCAAGCGGGGGTTCGAAGGTTACCAAATATAACGACCGGCTTACTCTTTTCTTAACATGACATTGAATACTGTCAAAGCAATGGCTGTACATTACAGAGCAGAGGGAGCTAAATAATGCAACGAGTGCATTTTAGATCGGTGGGAGACGTGTAGAGGTTCTGAAACAAAATGTTTTATCTGTGTGTGTGTGAATATAGACATATTTGTGTATTATACATTTCTCCCCATTACCAATAGCTGTTGACGCATGTGCAAAGTTGGTCACACAGAATCGTAGGTTTGGGAACTCGTTAAAAATTAAGTTTGTTTTCCATCCCCCCCCCCCCCCCCCCCCCGTGTGTATTAAACGTTAAATAGGCTGGAAGCATGCAGAAGCTTTAATTCTCCGCAAGCTAATTGTATTTTTCTTCCCCCCCCCCCCCCACCACCGTTGTTTGCGATGGGATCCACGCCGCTGACTCGTGACGCGAAACCAACATTCCGTGTTTCTGAAGAGCCCAGAACAAATTCGCATTGCGAATTTCCACCAGACGAGTCAATATCACCCAAGGGGCTTTTGTGCGTGCCGGGCCCATTCAGCCGCCGAAACTCTTGGGCAGGAAACGAATCCAAGCATGGCCACGGTTCACGCTCCTCTCCGTCTGCTCATGAATTGTGTTCATGTTTATTATGATTATCACTTTATGTGCGGCATAAGCCGCCGGCCAGCAACTCCGATCAGCACGGTTGGCTACGTACGGTGCGAAAGAAGTTCGACGTACAGGCAATGACAGTGATTTTTTGTTATTTTATTTTCACCCACGTGACTTTACCCAATAGAACCAAAGAGTAATGACAGGATTGCCCGGCAATGCGGTCGGTCTCGTCACATCTCGAGAAGCTAAAAGCCTGGACAGGGTTTCTGCCCTGTAGCCCCTGACCGTGCCGTTAGCGAGCACCTGTGAAGGCCGGTAACGGCACACGTTGGCGGTGGTGTGGCCAGCACTGTGCCCCAGCCACCGTTGTCTCCCCATTACCAATATTTACACATCACATCAGGTACCCATATTTAAGGCCGTGTCAACCTCGGGCAGGCCAGGACCAGTTCATTCGTTCACCACCGGGGTTAGTCGCGGCTGGGAATCGAACTTAGGTGGCAAGAATCACAGCGCAGTGCGCAAATGAACCATCGCGCAACCAGTTCCCACGAGCCTCCGTCTTTGGATGTGTGACGCCGAAAGACAAAGATCTCCCGGATAGCCTTGAACAGACTGTTGGAGCAAGTGCTGTTAGCGAGTACCTAATAATGTCAGCATGGCACACAAGGGGATGAGTGGACAACACCAGGGCCTGACCGCCTTTGTCTGCCTAGTGCTAAAGTTTACACATCACACCAGGTTAAATTTCGATTTAAAGCTTTCGTGACTGCAATGATTCATCTTCTTTGGTTCTTTCGGTAAAGTCACGTAGAATGAGAATAAAATAATAAATTGATAAAATAAAATAACACAATAATATTCTCACGACGTTTCGGCCACAACACAAGCGGCCTTCATCAGGTGAAGGGGGCGAGACTGTCTGGTAGGACAGCGCTGGAGCGCTGTCCTACTGGAGCGCTGTCCTACCAGACAGTCTCGCCCCCTTCACCTGATGAAGGCCGCTTGTGTTGTGGCCGAAACGTCGTGAGAATATTATTGTGTTATTTTATTTTATCAATTTATTATTTTATTCTCATTCTACGTGACTTTACCGAAAGAACCAAAGAAGATCACACCAGGTACTTATTTTTAAGGCTGAGTCGACCTAGGGGAGGCCGAAAAACGGTACAGATATTCGTCACCAATGTTGTCCGGGTTCGTTGCAGTGCGCCAATCACTGTGCTACCGCTTCTCGTGTGACACATGTACAGTATATGTGTTGAACTTTTTTCGCACCATACGTAGCCAACCGTGCTAATCGAAGGTGCGGGGACAGGACAACAAACTAAACACAAAAATAATTTCTAAAGAAATGAGTTTTCAAGCAATATTTAAAAGTGCATCGCTCCAGTGGCTTCCTAATATCAGAATGCAGACCATTCCAGACGGCCGCAGAAGCGCACCTGTACATACATACACACACAAGCGACATGATTCCTAGCTCAAAAACACAGGTAAAAATAAGAAAAGGTACTTTGAGAAACACACATGAGCAGGGTGAACACCCCCCACATTGTCCCCCCTCTCGTAATTCTAAAACGCCATCTGCTCCCGCTCCGCAGGTACCAGCTGTGGGTGGACGCGTGCGCCGAGATGTTTGGCGGCCTGGACATCTGCGCGGTGAAGGCCGTCCACGGGAAAGACGGGCAGGACTACATCATTGAGGTACGGCGTTCCCCAACCTACACCGGCCACCGCCACCGTGACGGTGGTGCCCAGCACGTGATTGATTGCGAAGGCAATCTGCGTTTACATCACCTGTGCACCGCGCGGCGTGATGGAGAGGGAGAGTCGGCTGGAGGTATGGGGGTGCAACCGAGGCCCACGGATGATTATAACATCAATATTGCTTTATTTATTTCGCTTCGACGTGCATTTGTCAAACTTACCCTTTGCATTCGCGCGAGTCCCGAGTCGTGGGTTTAGTTCCGGAGGGGGGGGGGGAGGACGCAGCTGCCTCGTTCCTTACCTACGTTAAGTGCGGCCAGCTGTCCTGGAGGTCAGAGGCTCAGAGTGCTCAGCTGGCGCCGCCGAGATCCTGGGTTCGAGCCGAGGCGGCAGCCAGTGATTGAACCAGGTTCTCAAGCGGAGTGAGTTCATGGTCTCAGCCCGGACAGCAGTAATTAGTCCCCCCCCGCCCCCCAGAAAAAAAATTCATCGCATTAAAACATGTTTCTGTACTTAATTTGGCTAAATTCCACAACTCTAGGAATTAAAATGATCAGGGTGACTGTCATACGACAAAACATTATTCTCATGTGACAGGGCTGGTGGGAATATGCTCCCGCCTGCTGTGTAAATCAGAGGTCACTTGAAGTGTTCTCAGAAGCAGTTCTGAGCTCTGTGATAGCCACTTCTGCGGCCGCTCTCTAACAAGAAGGGCTCTGCAAGAGATCCAGTTGGATGTTTCGCCTCGAGACATGACACCGATTGCACAATCGGGATCAAATCGGAGAAAATTACAACAGAGGTATGTATGTTCATATTCTTGGTTCTTTCGGTAAAGTCACCACGTAAAAGGGACACAATAAAATAGTAAAAATATAAAACAATACAATTATCACGACGTTTCGACTGCAACACAAGCAATCGTCATCAGGTGTGAAAACCACAGCAAGAAAATTTGAAAAAAGTGGCGGTTATTTTTAACGTTTGAAAAAAGTGGCGGTTATTTTTAACGTTAGCACCACCGAGAGCGACGTTAAAAATAACCGCCACTTTTTTCAAATTTTCTTGCTGTGGTTTTCACACCTGATGATGATTGCTTGTGTTGCAGTCAAAACGTCGTGAGAATTTTATTGTTTTATATTTTTATTATTTTATTGTTTCCCTTCTACGTGACTTTACCGAAAGAACCAAGAATATGAATCCCTGCAGTCACGAAAGCTTTAAATCAAAAGAGGTATGTATGTTGAACTTCTTTCGTACCGTACGTAGCCAACCCTGATAATCAGAGGTGCAGGTGAAAGACAACAAACTAAACACAAAAAAGCAGGTAACAGGAGGCTGTGTGGCCCAAGTGATGAGTGCAATCATTCAGATCCCACTGTCGCCCAGGAATATGTGAGGAATTATAACGGCACATCATCTGCCGGAAAGGCGACGTTGGAGGTCCCCTGATGACACGAGTTGTATATTCATGCCATCAAGTGACTCAACTAAAATTATCGAAGTTGGGACATGAGTTGTGAATTGTGCAAAATATAAGTTCGTTTTCACGATGATGGTGATGATGATGTTATCCCTACACATTGGACAACTTTAACAATCCACAACCCCGTGACAAACATTCTTTGTAGAAAGTGGTCAACATTTCATTTGTTAGAGATGCAACCCGTGATACATTGGGATGTGCGGGTGCAGTTATGATCAGGTCATCTTGCCCATCGCGCACCACAATGTAAGCATGTGGCTGCATTAAACTGGATGACGATGATGCCAAGAAATTATCACGTGATATGAGTCATTCCTGTAGGCCACGCACTGTGGAAATTAAATTACCTGCGTTAAATGTGTACATTCCCACTCTGGTGCATGCATACACTGGACATATATGTGTTCAAATAATAATACTAAAATAGTAATCATTTACAGCACTTTGTCGATCCATTTCTGTACAACGCCTCCCCGCACCATGTTGGTCATGGGGTTTGTTTGATAAAAAAATACTTTTAAAATATTTTTGGACTGTCAAAATAACTTATGCTAAAAAGTGTTTAAGACCACAAAACCCCAACAGCATGTCTCAACATGCGTTCCACGTGATTTTGACGAGACAATATGCTAAAAATGCTGGGCATGCCTGTAATATTTTATGATACAATATACCTTCTTGCACATACATACATAATAACTAGAATTCGTTTCTGGCCTGCACACATTTCACATTCGCCTACATAAGACGCTTGAAATGTATTTTTGAACTTACGTGAACAAAATGTTATTTTGCCCCTTAGTTACGGGGGTTCAAACCCAGGCTAACAAAGATTTCTCACTGCGTCCGATTGTCACGTGTTGCCACCTCCTGCCCCACAGAGTCAGCCAAGCAGCTCTGCGGTATCGCGACGTTCGCTTATCCTGTCCGTCTCAATAACAGCGCGAGAAAAGCAAAAACATGAGTTTGGCCCATCCAATTGTGCGTGTCACAAATGATAAATGGCAGTAATCAAGCCAAGTGTAGGTTAAACCGGGGCAGGGCTAAAATTTTGATTAATGCTCTGCTGCCTGGTCCGGTTAGGAAGAGCCATTAAGTTGTGACGGTTACACGTCCTGGGAATCTAATAAATACCGCACATTTATCAAAAGGCATTACGGATCAACGGTGTGAATGCCGTACAGGCGCGCACGTTACATTGCGTGCATGGAGAATGTACGGCATGTTACAACGCGTGGGTGATTGTGGGGGTTAGCACACCGGCGCTTATGAACCTGACGAACCCAAGTTCGAGTCCTGGACGTGGCTAATATTAGTGGTGAGTGATGCTTGAACTGGCCCTGGGCTACGCCGCTACGAAAGACCACACTGGCCAGGGCGGTGAGGCAGAGCCAAACGACTCCCATGACTGACAAGGCATGGAGAGTTATTTATCCAAAAAGAGTGGATTGACAGGAGGCTATAAATTATGATTATTGTGATTATAGCGCACACTATACACAGTTTAGCGTTAAACCGTGGGAAACTATGGGAGGTCCATAAGCAGTTTTAAAATGTGCCACCGGTGGAGGGCATGGCTACGATTTCAGCCCAGGTCACTGAGATTGTAATGCAGGGCCCTGGCCGTCACGTCAGAGGGGATCTCGGGTGGGGAGTCGACAACAATCAGATGAAAACAGAATATCCACCAGCGCGTGAATTGTGTTCCAAGTGTACCTTGTAACCCAGACAACCTCCGTTACATTGTATATTACGACGACTAGATATTACGCCGTTTGAAGTGAGGCCGGCCATTAACGGCCACTAACTACACTGCGTACAGCGTTTTGGCCATTCACAAACACGGCTGGGCTTCCTCTTGGTCAGTGCCGGATTATCCCAGTAGCAAAAGTAGCTACATAGGTAGCTATGGGCCCCGCACTTTCAAGGGCCCCGCGCTAAATTATTTCAAGATATCAATTCTGGTTCAGTGATTCTGCACTTGCTCTATTACCATAGTACTATACCGCCTTCAACTTTTATGAACGACTTGGTGTTTAAGGTTAGCGATTTGTCGTATTATCTGGCTGTATAGCAAATGAAAAAATACAATTACTTTACTATGCAAGTTAAAAATTTGTGTTTTCATATTTACAATAAAATATTGCTACAGGCCCCGCACTAGCTTAATCCGACACTGCTCTTGGTAAGAGCGTCACCCGGAAGATCGGTGTTCTCACGCGAGTCGTTACGAAGGCCACTATTGTCCTCACCCTGACCGCCCTCGCCGCTTCCTCGGATTACTTTGTTTGACAAGAGGGGACGAGCGCGGGGCTCTGCCCTTCCATTTGCCGCACGACGTTTTTTTTTTGTGTGTCTGTATTCTGGTGGCATCGTCGCTGACCGGAGCGCACAGGGGCCGAAATTTAAGGATGGGCGGTTGGGGGATTGGATTTCGTTGGTTTCAGACCTTCAGTAAGAAACGAAGAGGCGGAACAGCGGGAACGCTTTTGCCTCGCAGCAAGAATCACCTGGGTTTCGATTCCAGACTCGGGTGCCTTTCTGCGTGTTCTTTCTTGAGTTTCCTTCAGGTTCTCCGTTGTTTTCCTCCCATAGCAAAACAAAAACTTCAGAATTGTAAAGTGCTATAAATGTCTATTTGTGGCCAGGTCGCTTCTGAAAAATAAGTTAAAACCTCAGTGGGCTTTGCCTGGTAGAATGGGGATGCTTTAGTTTAATTTGTATACTCTTTGGTTCTATTCGGTAAAGTCACGTAGGTAAAAAAATTAAATAACAAAAAATCACGACGTTTCGGCCACAACACAAGTGGCCTTCATCAGGTGAAGGGACCGGACTGTCCAGAGGACAGCGTTGGAGTGAAGACAGCCAAGGACGCAGGTCGCGTCCTTGTCCTCTGGACAGTCCGGTCCCTTCACCTGATGAAGGCCACTTGTGTTGTGGCCGAAACGTCGTGATTTTTTTTTTTACCTAAGTGACTTTACCGAATAGAACCAAAGAGTATGGATCCTTGCAGTCACGAAAGCTTCAAATCTAGAATTTAATTTGTATGTTTTTGGTTAATTCGTTTACCTTTCTTGTACGTTGCACTTCTATTGTGTCTGTACTGTTTGTTGTGGTAACGTTCTCACCCACCTCTAGTGGCCATCTGTGAAAAAGAGCTTTACAGCTCGTCGGGTTCCTCCAGTGTAAATATATATTCTGTTTCTGATTTTGGCTAATACATCCTAATGCAGACAGACTACTTGCAAATTACTGACTTGGGATTACATGTAAGAATGTCAAACCCCACTGAGAAAATTTGGCAGGACCCTCCTCAAAATTATAATTGAGGCTTTCCTGGGAAAACAATTGTAGTAATAATGACAATGAATAGCATTGCTGCGATCTAATTATTCGTGGTGAGGTACGGTATAATTATAACAATAATGTTCACGATGTGACAATGTTTTTTATTTTATTTCTGTTATATTATTTTATACCTACAGTGAGGGAAAAAAATATTTGATCCCCT